TTAACTGTCAATCTATGTCAAGCAGAATGGATAGGCTATAGCCTATAAATATTTTTTTTTTTTTTCTTCGATTATTTTCCTTGAAAACAAGGCCTAAATATTGATTAAGAAAATGACTTTGCAGTGTAGTTTGACAAGACCACAATTACATTTTCTACACTCCAAAGTATTATGAAGTAAATTGGTATATGCCTATAATATATTAGTAATAACGACTTAAGCGTCTGGTAATTTGTGATGTATAATGACTAGTTTTTCCTCTGCCTTTTACAAAGTCGACAAGTGTATGATTATGCCTAGTGTTTTAAAATCAGTACAGATTTTAAAAGTTGCATAATGTGTTCCAGCCTTAATTAAAGCTTTAAGAAGCAGCAAATAACATCAATATTTGCATATAGACGAAATAGGTCGCAATAGACATGTGAATGAGGGAACACAATCTTTTCCCCATTCTCGCAGGCTTTCGTCTCGTTCCATCTGTCTACTGGAGAATGTCACATTAATGAAGTTTATTTATTTAAAGCTCTTGAAAGTGAGCCCGTAGAATCTAACAGCCATACTGCTTTATCGAAAGGGAGATCATCTGTAGGCCTACTACTCTGTTCCAGCCCACAGAAAACACAACAATAACCAGAAAATTCTTGTGTGTGTGTGCTGCAGGTGTGTGTGTCCATAAACAACTATTATCTTGTCTTCTTCAGTTGATCAATCCTTTGATTAAATTAGGACATACTCTAGTGGTGATTCGGTTGAAATATGAGCGACCTAAGGGGTGAAGCAAGATACAGCTCTTAAGACTAAACTTGTCTCCAGTGGGCACTAAATCACGACAAAGTTTGAAAAACAGATCAATGGAATTGTGTGGCTTCGAGCGAGGAATGTGAGAAGGAAGCACATTTTAAACATCTCAAATGCGCGCTCTGGCTCTTGCTCTTGGCCTGTCAATCATAAGGATGTTGAAGAACAGCATACAATCCAGTTGATGAGTGTCATGTAATGAATGTTATAGACTTTTTAATAGCAGGGCATGATGTCACTATGGAACATGCCATTAAAATTAAAATATTGAAATAAATAAAAAAAAATAATAATAATAATAATAAAAAAACTTTATTTTTAAGAGTATGAGAGTAACTAATATATGAGACTGATACACTCGTAAAAATAAAGGTTCTTTATTGGCATCAGCCATCAATGGTTCCTCGAAAACCTTTAAAGATTTTTTTTTTTCTGAAATCTTTCTTAAAGGGATTGTTCACCCAAAAATGAAAATCTGTCATCATTTACTCACCCTCATGTTATTCCAAACCTGTATGAGTTTCTTTCTTCTGTTGAACACAAAATAAGACATTTTGAAGAATGTTGGTATCTAAACAAACAGTTTACAGTCGTCATTGACTTCCATCGTCTTTATGGAAGTCAATACCTTCAGCTGCCTTTGTGGAACTAAAAATGGTTCTTATGGTATCAAAAAATGTTTAAAAAAAACCTTTTGGAATCTTATTATTGAAGAGTGAAACTGAGGTTCTGGGAGACTGAAAGGTAAATCTAAAAGCAACTAAATGTGCAACTCTTACACAAACCGGCTGTACCTCATGCTTCTGTCACATGGGAACCATCAAATGAGATCAAAGAGCCTGAGGTAATGTTATGAAACCAGAGGCTTTTGCAATAAGAAGTACATGCAGTCTCTTGTGGGACAGCACATTGACACCTTCTTTCCCAAAGCATGCAACTAAAAAGGCACATCATTTTTTTTACCCCTAAAAACAGTAGGATACTATTTTCAACTTAGTTTGGTTTACTTCCGTGTGTTATTATGCTTCCCGGGGCCTTCGTACTGTACAAATAAACACCACAGGACTATAGCATAAGTTTCTCTGAGGTTTCTTGAGATGTATTAACCTCCTGTGCCTTTTTGGTGTTTATATTATTGCTTATTTATAAGATAAGTCAAAGGCATGCTCACATTTTGTTCATGAAAAGGAATTTATAACTGTGAAAAAGCCATAAAAACCTTCATAATAATAATAATTTATAAGAAAACATAAAACAGGCTAAAAAGTTGGCAAGAGAGTAGAGCTTCTGGCAGTAAGGGAAATGATATATCATTCAAAGACAAAATAATCTCAGTGTCAGTTAAGTGAAATATAACTTGTGAAAAACCTCACAGACAGGAAGCCTGTTCATGCAGCCTGAAGCGGTTTTTGCACGGTTCATTTCCCTGCAGTCTAGGTGTTTTCTTTGCACTTCAGATGGGTTATTTCTTTTTTGATGGACTTCGAAATTTCACAATATACTCTGTATCTTGGGAAATATATGATAAGTCCTGGCTCTATCTAAGAATAAAATGCTTTTCTTCAGGCATCACAGTTAAATTTGTATCTAGTTCTAGGCCAGTGAGATAGCATCAAACCAGAACTCAAGTGTCCTCCTTTTTAAAAGTGTTGTTAGCAAAACTAGTATGGTACTACTATATTTTGATGACCAACGAGTCTTTAAAACATCTAGGTGTGTTTTCATTTTCACAGCCCCTCAGGTAGGATGACGTTGTATGGTCTGTGCTAATGTGTTGTTCATTAGTGCCTCCTGGTGGTTTGAGGGTGTAGTACATATACCATCAGTAGCCTCCAGGTCACGCTTTATCTGTTAAAAAAGCACATGGGGGCATGCAGCCATGCGGCCATGCGCACTCTCTGCACTCGAAATAAAAAAAAGTTGCAGTCATATTATGCTACCTAATAAATGTAGAAAGCATTTAACAAAGTAGTGTCATCGTAATAAATAATCATCCTTTATAACTCTTTACACTTGTGTAGCTATTTTGCGTTACTGTCTCTAACACACTTTCACTCAAAAACAGTTAATAAAAAACTCTTAAGGTCTAGAAGTCCCACTATACATATAGTTGGGAATGTACAGAACATTAATAGGCCTACGTGTTTATATAATAAGGCCATTACATGCCATAAAAACAATACCACGTTCAAACACACCAATATGCTAAACAATAAGAATACCCACACATGCTGCAGAATCTGCAGTGCAGATCCACAAACACTTTCTTCAAGAGTAATAGAAGCCAGCGAGGACAGTATTCCATATGGTGAATGCTTTTTTTTGGTTTTTGCAACCAACAGATATCACAGCCTGTCATAGCCTGCCATTCACTAACAAACACACTTGAGGCCTCAAGTTACATGTTGAGGAGGATCATGACTACTAAGAAATTATCTATAACCCGATGTGCACTTGTAAGATGCCCTCTCATAATTTATGGATAAAAAAAAAATGTTTATGAATGTCCTGGTTGCTCTTTTCCAAGCAGTTACAATTAATGAGGGGTTAGAACTTCAAAAAGGATACAACAGCATCATTACAGTAGGCCTACCCTAAAATAGTCCATGCTACTTGTGAACTGTATATTTATGTATCTGAAGCCATATCATTTGGATGTGAAACTGACATTTATGGCTGATATAACCCAGAAACTGTTGCGACAGATCAGTGAGATGAAGACGGATCATTACAAATTAAGGAGTTCATGAATCATATTGGTTTTGTGAACCAGATAAACATATTGATTATATAAATATACATTATATTAAAAATAAGTTTAGAGAATGTTGGATATTAGCCTATCTTTTTTCTTATTTTTTTGCTGTAAACAAGAAAGAATGTTGCATATAGGTTTGGAATGACAGAGTAGGCTAAATGATGACAGAATTTTTTTTTTTTTTTTTTTTTTTATTGTTTTGAGTTAATCCTTTAATAATATGTCCAGGACGAACAAGCGCTATTTTCTTTCATTGAATATAATTTTTTACTAAATTGTTCCACTTTTTCGCATTGAGATTAGCTGAGTTAAACTTGTTTTAAATCTGTCGCATTCCTTGATAACCTCCCTAACCCATATACGTCATAGACCATATCGTGTTGAATGATTTGAACTCTCTTATTTATGGTTTGTTTGCTCACAGCACTTTGGAATAGTCCCGTCAACCTTGTGACTCTAAATTTTCACACTGGTGCTGGTTCACCCATCCTCCTCTGTGTGTCATTAAAGAGGCAGTGACAGATTCTACAGGCAGTGACCTCTTGGCATTAGAGTTCTCAAGATCAAGCCACTGTTTGAGATTCTCTGCTGTTGAAAATGAATACTGGTCACTTTTGAATAAAAAAGGTAAAAAGGAACCCAGCTGAATGATATAGAAGAGGGTTACATCAAGCTCAATTTTGAGTTTTCTGGGTTTGTGATGACATAAAGACTTCTATTCTATTCTATTCTATTCTATTCTATTCTATTCTATTCTATTCTATTCTATTCTATTCTATTCTATTCTATTCTATTCTATTCTGTTTTGTTCTATTCTATTCATTTGCTCTGGCATCAATTTAAGGCCTGGAATCATATCCACACCATGTTGATTTATTTGGCCAGAGGAGAACTGCCCCCCTACTGAGCCTGGTTTCTCCCAGAGTTTTTTTCTTCTTCAGTTCCTTGCCACAGTCTCCTCTGGCTTGCTTAGTTGGGGACACATAATATTTAGCAATATTATTGATTTGACTGTGCTGACACTATTGAATGAGAACTGAACTGAGCTGGACAATGACATCACTATTTTCTACCGAGCTGCTTTATTTAGGGAAGTACTCCTGGAGGATCAAAGGGACAAAGTATGGTCAAAGATATTGTGACAGACACAGGAAGTGGTCTTTACCAAGGTAACCACCATGCACCATCATACAAAAAGCAAACCACAGATACCAAAAGGGAGCGAGGAACAGTGAAAATAGTGTGAGAAAAAACACATAAAACAATACAAAATGTTTAAACTTTGAGAAAGTCATCACTGATATAGCACTAAAAGAACAACAGTGTTGCTGGTAAATATTTATCGACATAATAAGAAATATGCTAAGTAAAGAAATAAAAACGGAAAGAAAGCACCAGCTCACAAACAGATACCCTCCCATTTCCACATTCACTGTCCTCGAAACCTCTCTTCTTCTCCCCTGCCCAGGTAATCTCGGTCACGTGAGCAGGACTGGGCTGTTCATGACGTCATGTTCGCTCTGCCTCGTTCTGGTCAGCTGATGCTTACGACGCAGAGGATCCAGACAACTACAGCACTTCAATTTCAACCGTTTAAACTCAGTAAGTTACATTGTTCTTACTAAAATAACTTTATTCTCACTTATTAGCTATTTTTAAACGTCCGGTGAGTTGAATTTAGAACAGAATACGTTAGCGTGTTTTCTTTCAGGGTTTTGGGATACGTTGTTGAGTGTTTAAGTTCTCTGAGGTAACAACCTGTCGAGGATCATTAGCATTAGCGCTTTTACTCTCTAATATGGCTGCTTAGTTGTTTTAATGTTTAAGTTGGAACTTTATAAGAGACCCCTGCCATCTTTCATAGCATAATACTGAAGTGAATAAAGTGGCACTTTGCCCCACTAACGTTACTTGTTGACCCATAAGCTTGGCTTGACAGCTAACGTTACACTAATGTCCTCTGTCAGGCTAGTTAGTTAATAAGCCGGTGTCTGTGTTTACGGTTTACTCCTTCTCAGTTCAACGATGAAAATACGCGTTTTTGCATTACATCGCAAGTCATGTCCTCTGGGTGACTGTGTAGTATAGTATAAGTCTAAAAACAAGTGTTATTTTTTTTGGATCGCTCACCATTTAGCAATTTAACTGATGTGGAAATAAATACATAATTTTAAAAAAAAAAGATTAAACCTAATAAATATTCAACAATATAATTAACATAACATTTTATTTAAAGATTATTTTTTTTTAAATAATATATCTAACAGAAAAAAACGTAATAATGTAACATAATAGCATTTTAGGATGGGGTCCCTTCAACGTGGATAATCATATTTGGGGGTCCGAGCGAGGCATCTAAAATATTGAAAACCCCTGTTGTATGGTACAGTATTGTGCTGATATGGTTCAACATTAAACTGAATTGCGCTGAATAATGGCACTGTTACCTTGCTACAGCTGCTTTACTTCAGAATTTGATGTTTGAATGAAGTCGCACCATTCATTTGATTACTTTCCTGTTTATTACTGTGAAGCTACTTTGTAACTTTATTTCTGTTGTATATTGTATTGTATACTTTATTGTCCCCTTAGGGAAATTTGTCTTGGGCACAGTGTATGCTGCATTTCCAGAATAAAAATAAGACATTAAAAAGAAATAAAAATAGATAAGAATTTATAAATAAATTCTAAATCAATCACAGAATAAATCAATCACAGGATGTATCTCGCCTAAACAATCCATACAGTAGAGCAAAACATGTAGACCATGTAAACGGTCGTCATACTGCACATCTAAAAAGACCACTGTTATCACACAAATAGTGGTGGTGCATAAACCTTAAGACCAGCAATAAAGTAACAATAAATACAAATTATAATATAGAGCATAAATAAACCAGAGACAATCATAGGCCTTTGTCCTTGTCATTCAAAAGTCCAAATCTATAATAGTAAAAAGAGCTATTAAAAAATCAATTTAGTATAAAGAGCTATAAAAAAAAATCAATTTAGTATATAAAACATAAAGTTGACTTGACTTGTTGGACAACTGTACCTTCAACCGTTTTCATGATTTCATGAGGCCATATAGACATCTATTCTATTCTAATTCTATTATGTTCCATTCTGTTCTATTCTATTGCTCTGGCACCGATTTGCTCAATTTAGTTAGTCAGATTATAGCAGTACAAATTACTCAGATTAAACCTGATTAGGCGCCCTACCACAGGTGTTCACATTATTAATATGCGGTCTCATTGAAGGATATATTTTTCAAAGACTCTGCACTGACTGATACCTGATGATGCTGGGGTAGCTGTATGTAGTTGTGCAGGAGAATGGAAAACAGAGAAGGATACACAGAGACAGCTGAAAGACTATCTGCATCTTGATAATTCCCCAAAGTGTTGCATTATTCAGCACGTGTGGAATTACCCATGCAATCAATACTGCACTTAAAAGTTGTAAAATGGACCTAACAAAAGCATTACATGCCTTTTTGTGCTCTATCGATTTTATTTGTGTCTTAACATGCCACAAAGTGCCTCTGTGTTGGTAATGTTTAGTATGGAGAGTCACATGGTGCAGCTTAATCCTTAATCCACTCCCTGTGAGTGGAGTCCATCGTACAATCGTTCTTAATGAATCGTAAACTTCTTTCACACAAAGTGAAGGACTGCTTTGGGCTACAATTTAAAGTTCACTCCTTTGAGAGGACCAGATGCATTGCACTGAGAAGATGCCCTAGGAGAGCACATTCCTTGCAGTTGTAGCTGTAGGTCCAGGGAAAGTTAAGTTCATGAGGTTATTCTGTGTAATCACTGAATGCTCCTGTGTGTTTTCCTCATTCCTCTGAGATTGCATGTGCTTATTCCCATAGCTGTTTCGAGCATCACATGCCACGAGAATGGTGTAGCGGCACAGAAGCATAACATTCCTTGGGTGTCCTGTCCTCTGGGCACAAGATTCATTGCGGAAGCTTTTTTTATTGTTTCTAAGCAATCATTAGTTCAAGATGTTGTGTAGTGTTTTTTACATAGGCCTTGTCTAGATGGAAAATTGTGCTTTTGGTGTTATGAAATGAGGCAGAAGTTTTACCTTTAAACTGCTTGGAGTAGGGTTTTGCCATGCACAATGATATTATATTTATCTAATTTTTAATTATTTTTTTAGTTATTTAAAGAACAGTACTGTCGGATGACCTTTGAATAGTAAAGCCTTGAAAACAGAACATTCCCATGATTTTGTTGACTTCGTAAACCATCTGCCATATCCAATGAAGTTTAGCTCACCATGACAGAGCATTTAGCTGTGGCATCGTCATCTCACAGGTCTGGAAGCATAACAAAATTTGCACAAAATCAGTAAAGAGATCAGAATTGTTTGTGTAAAGTGGGGCAACCGAGGTTAAACATGCTAATGTACTGTTTTAAGGGCCTGTCTTCCTTCCTCTTGGTCAAAGTAAAATATTCTGCATTTGCACAGCAAATGTGGCTTAACCAATTGATTCGCAAAGAGACCTCCCCTCTTTAGTTACTGTTGCTTTGTCCGACAAGCCATGCCGCTCTCACGCCACACATCATGTTCTCACGCAGTGAAAAATACATCGCAGAGCAAAGGGGACAGAAAGAGCAGGTTACTTTTGATATGAAACGAAGTCTCAACGTTACATTTCGAATTTTTTTAATGACATTTAAGCAATAAATACGGTTTTGTGGATCTTGAATGTGTCGTGACAGATCGCTGTAGCGCCTCAGTTAAAGCTGCTCAGGAACCCATCATCTTTTCCTTCTAGAACTTATAGCATCAAATAAACATGAATGTACATCAGAAGGAATGTTGTTTCAAACGCGGAAAGACGTCAGTACACACCGTCCTTCAAGTTCAAGTCCACCGATGTTATAACCTATTAACTCTCCTGACTGCTTTGTCGGACAAAATGGCGGATTATGATTGGTCAGATTGCCTGTGTCAATCAAACTCCTGCAAATTGTTTGCTGTCAAACAAAATACTCCCCAACGTTTACTCTTTGTCTTTTCATTTTAGTCTTTATATTATTTATTATAATTTGTTTTCTCCTTTTCCTCCCCCAGACATTCTCCCCTTAGTGCATTGAGTAGAGAGCAGTGCATTATGGGGGAGTTGTTCCGCAGTGAGGAGATGACCCTGGCCCAGCTCTTCCTCCAGTCTGAGTCCGCCTACTGCTGTGTCAGTGAGCTGGGTGAAATTGGAATGGTGCAGTTTAGAGATGTAAGTATAGACCATTTCATATTGATATTTGTTCCTGGAACATTTCCGGTTCATTGTCAAACAACAGTAGAAGGCGCTTCATTCATAGTGACTCATAGCAGTAACACTGACATCATTGTTAGCTTTACATTGTGTGTAAAATGTCATTTGGTGGCTGAATGGTCCCAGGATGCCTGAACTAAGGAAATTTCAAGCGTTTTGATTTAAGAGAGAAGCAATAGGCTATGCAGTAGGACAATTGTAGTGTCACAAACGCAATAGCTTTGTAGTAGAAACTCACAGCCTTACATGATTCATGTAAGGCTGGCGCTGCCAATAAAGCACCCAAAAGCTGTCACAAGAACTGGCAAAAGTAATGATTATGAATACAACAAATATAGCAAGGAGACATTTTAATTGTTTATTAATAAACAAGTGTTTTCAGTCAGTGTCAGCCAAAGATGAAGTTGACGATGCTGACTCGCGATCTTCAGTGAACGCGTGCCAGAGAGAAATGCACATTTCATACGATTACATGAGTCTGTCTGTCTTTCGTTTTGAATTGTTCTGTTTAAAAGTAGACATTTCAATATAGATAGGCTATATTTCAATTCTCAGGTCTATACGCTGAGTTTCGGTTCATGAGACGAGCTCCAGTTCACCCGCAGGCGCCTCCGTGTCGAGATTATCTATCGTCTGCTATATTTACTTCTTATAAATTAAATCCAGGCAAATGGTTGATGAAACATTGATTAAAATTAAGATACAATTAATACAAAACGAAATTCACTTTGAAACGAAAGGTTTTGTGCTTTCTGTTTGATGTCTATGTGAAAGTTTCAAAGCATATTTTAGTGCCGCTTTCAGAGCGCTTACGTCCGTAGTGCTGAACTGTCGCGTCTGTAACATTGTTTTTTCCTCATAAATGCGAACACGAAAAATAAAATAAAATGAATATTTTATGTAGCCTGTGGTGACTGAGAGCCAACCCTTCTTCATCCGGTGGGTAGTAGCCTACTTGTGATTTGCGCAGTGTAATTCACAGAATTGATTTCTCTGCTACAAGCCTCTGTCACGTATTGTGTGAGCTTGTGACTATTGGAAGCGCGCAGCTGAGAAGTCCTGATTATATTGTCTGCTATATTTACTTCTTATTTATTAAGGCAATTGGTTGATGAAACATTGATTAAAATGCGTGGCGCGAGCGATCTCCGACAGTAAACTGATTCTGCTTTGTCTAGGGTAAACAGCTGTTGCGACGCGAGCAATAACGGCCGCGTCCGGTGTGTAGACACCGTGTTAAAGCTCATTCTGCCTGATAACGCTACGTTACAACATCAAGCAATATTCCAATAATTTATATAATTATAACACTTTATATAGGGCCATTTTGCATTAAGAGTAGCCTATAGTTTCACGTTTAGTACATTTTGCTTAGGCCTACTGATTATTTAAAATAGTATAAAAGTACTGTACATATGTAATTAAAAACGTTTTCATTATGATATTATTAATTTTACTTTAGTAAAAAGATCTGAGTTCTTCCTCCACTGGTAGAGATTAGAGGAATTAAGAGTAAAAATAGAAGATAATAAAGTTTTGTCAGTGACACTTTTTATATATTTATTGATACAAGTTATGACTAAATTAAAAGACAAAGTCATTAGTGAAGATTATGCAACAGTATTTATAATATAATATAATATAATATAATATAATATAATATAATATAATATAACATGCAATGCAAACTAGTTTGGTTACAGCTCAGCTGTATAATTCTCATTCTATCATTCCCCCTGCCTCCATTACATATCTGTGTCACACAAGTGTTTGATCACCACATTTGAGTGATCATTGCAAAACGTGTTTATAAAATATATTTATTCTGTTTATAGCTACTGTGTAAAGTACCCATCAAAAGTTTGTACACACCAATAGGAAAGTGTCCAAACTTTTGACTGGTATACTGTACTTTAATACACATACATAATATTGCTACTACTGTATTATAATATACACCAATAATATCGGCCGATATATCGGTATCGGGCTTTTTTACTCCCTAATATCGGCATCGGCCCCCAAAAATCCATATCGGTCGGGCTCTAATGACAGTGAATGGCCATTTCTGTTTTGAAATCCATAAAAGTGCATCTATTCATCATAAAAGTGCTCCACACGGCTCTGCGGAGGTTAATAAAGGCCTTTTTTAAAATACCACATTAAAATACCACAATGCCGCAGACAGAGGTGACAGGTAAATGCTATCTATCGCTGTTTTCCATTTTCATGAAGTAAGTATATGTAAACTGTGTGTTTATGCGGCTTTTTAAAAATGGCGGGTGTCTGTGTTTCATATGGCTTGGTTTCAGCCAATCAACTTACTCTTACATCACTGGTAGTTCCTATTGTGCTGAAGTAGGTAATTTTCTAATTTAGTCCTCTGAAAAGGCGCTCCTATAACTAAAATAGGTCCCACTTTATATTAAGTGGCTTTACCTACTATGTACTTACATTGAAATTAATAATTTGATACAATGGACTTATTGTGTACATACATGTTTTTACATTGTACTTATAAAACCTGCATGTAATTACAGCTGTAATTAATTTATGTACTTACATTTATAATTACATGGTTGACCCTTCCCTTACATTTACATTTATTCATTTAGCTGACGCTTTTATCCAAAGCGACTTACAATTGCTATATTTCAGAGGTCGCACGCCTCTGGAGCAACTAGGGGTTAAGTGTCTTGCTCAGGGACACATTGGTGTCTCACAGTGGATTCGAACCCGGGTCTCTCACACCAAAGGCATGTGTCTTATCCACTGCGCCATCACCACCCCATTACACCTTAACCCACCCTTACACCAACCCATACCACCACACCTGTCCCTAACCCTACCCGTATCACACCTCAATAGCAGCTAAAGTGTTTTACAATACAATATGAACACAATAAGTACATTGTACTTATTTTTCGATGTAAGTAGGCTACATAGTACTTAAAGCCACTTAATATAAAGTGGGACCCTAAAAGCATTCCCAGCCAAAAATGTTTTAACTAAATTTTGCCAACTAAGTGTTAGTGTGGTAGGTAGAGTCTAGTTGGCTTGTTAAGTCAGAGTATTTCTTTACAGGCTCTAAAAGTTAGATCGCTGCAATTTTAATGAATGAAGCTGCAAAAGTTACACGCTTGCAGTGTTAACTTCATTAATAATAATGGGTGCGATTAAATATTACTGAATGTTCCGCTGAGGAAATAAGCATCTAAACTATGATATGCTTTCATGGCCTTTCTTGTTTAGACGAGCTCAGTGTCTACAAAACAATGATAGACATCTGCATTAGTGACATCAGAGAAAAATGCATGGTGTCGTTGTAATTCCTTCCTTATTGTTATTGGCCCAGCAGCATTGCTGACAGTGGGTGCCACTCATTTCAGATTTGTGAGTCCTCGTTTCCTTTCCTCACTTCCTTTCCTCGCGTCTCAGCAAAGGAAAAAAAAAATAAGAACCAATACACTAATTACATGCATAGATAATAATGCATTATAACAAAGTTACAAATAAAGTAAAGTCTAATTGTAGCATTCAGGTACAAAAATGTAATAATTAGGCCTAAATGTAAAATAACACTATAGTATATAAATTAAATATAGCTTTTGTTAAAGCTGTGTTTTGTTGTTCGATTAACATTAATGACATAGACAGCAGCAGGTATGTATAGGCTGCTATCACTTTAAAAGTGAATGCATGGATCCATGATACACATCAGATTTTTTTTCTCAACGTTCACTTAAGACATAACTGACTGTGTTTTCAAGAATACTTGCTGAAATGGGTATTTTGACATAATTGTGTGTGTGTGTCCGTTCAAGCGCAAGGAGATGCGAAAGGGGAATCAATTCGCTGTTCGCAAATCAGAATCCCACCTCTCTGTGTGTGCGTGCTTCGGGTGTGTACGCACAGTGCATAACAGTGCACGAGTACTAAATTGGCAAGACAAAACACATACAAATGATAAACTTTCACTCTATGATGGTTAAACTTTGCAATTAATCCACAAATCACATGCGTGATTTGGATCAACTACAATTAGGGCTAGGCGATATGGCCAAAAATATGATCACAATATTTTTTCACAATATCGATGTCGATATTTATCACGATTTACCATTATTGTAAAGGAAATCCTTTCCACATATTTGTTGAGAAGGAATGTAAAGATGTAAACTTGTTTGTTCACAATTAAATTCCACTGAGTAGCAACCTTTTAATTTAGGGTCCTGTGAAATCCTTTTTAATTTCCCCTAAATTCTGTGTTTTCAATTTAATTATTTGGGGATTCTGTGTTTTATGATTAAATACAATTTAGATTCAAATTATTTATATTTCAAAAATGTAATCACGCTTTTAAATTGTAATTGTGATATACCTTAGAAATATTATTATTATTACTTTGAGAAGTACATTTTAGTATACAGTTATATATATATATATATATTTTTAGTTTTATATATATATATATATATATATTAAGTTAAACTGAAATTTTATTACTATGTATTTGACAGTAGTTTTTCTCAAATGAAACAGTAGGTACGTTTACATGGACACCTTTTGGTTCAATCAGAATGAAATCAATCCGATTGATGAATCTGAACACGGTGTTTACATGAACGATAAATAAAGTAATCGGGTTGCGTATATGTCACAAGATTTAAATCGGAATTGATCCGTTGTGCCTTGCTGCAAATATTTATCACGCAGTAAAACCCCGCGCCCAGAACCAGTTGTCCGTGTATGATAATCTGAAACGAGGACTGGAGGAACATTGTCCTGCTCCACTTCACAGACACTGAGTGAAATGTGAATTTTATAATATCGGGAAACTCATTTATAAGACACTTTATTCAACTGGAAGAACAGCTCGTTCCGTGAGTCATACGTCATTACGCTATTTCAACGTCATTGCACATGCGCAGTCCTTTCAGTTTCGGTTTTCAATCCGATCAAGTGTTTACATGTTCTGTCGATCAGATTACAAAAGGAGTAAACCACCCCTTTCAATCCGATCGAAATTCCAATGGGATCGAGCTCAATCGGATCGATTAAGTTGTTTACATGAAGGTTTTTTAATCCGATTGAACCGTCAATCCGATTATAAGTGTCCATGTAAACGCAGCTAGTGAAAAGCTTGTGAAGTGACTCTCAAAGCAACTCTGGAGATGAAGTTCATGTGTTCATGTCCTCATATATTAGGACGGCAGACGCTGAAAACCCAGTAAGCGTCATGTGTTTTGAGTATCAGGAAAAACGGCGCCGTTCTTTCACACAGAGACACTCAGAAATCTTAGAAGATTTAAGTGGCAAACAGATACACAGACGTTATGACATCATATAGGAAGTGATTGTGAAACTATGCTCAAAGTGGCCTAAGAGTTCTCAGAACTTCTCACTCATCCTTGAACCCTCTTCTAGTTATTTAAGGCCAACAGTGTTGTCTTTATTTCATGTGTATTCATTTTTCCAATGTGAATGTGACTTCTTTGCTATCTTTCCCTACACTCCTAGCAGTGAATGTGGCTTCCTTTATTGTTGTCTTTGAGAGAATGGTAGTTGTGTATTATTAGGTCAGTTACTTTTCCTCTCTTTTGAATTGCAGTTGAACCCAGATGTGAACGTTTTCCAGAGGAAGTTTGTGAATGAAGTCCGTCGCTGTGAGGAGATGGACCGCAAACTAAGTAAGTTATTGAGTCAGCATTGACTCTGACATAGTGGGCTTGAAATCATTGCTTACACAGCATCCTGTGTTCTGATTAAATTCAGTGGAAAGAAGTTCAAGAACATTTTTTTTTTCTGGCTCTGTTTTCTCTACTTTATATCAGTTTTTTTTTTCTTTCAAGGATTTGTTGAGAAGGAAATCAAAAAGGCTAACATACCTGTTGTAGACACAGGGGAGAACCCAGAGGTCCCTTTTCCACGAGACATGATTGACTTGGAGGTAAAAAAAAACCCTCATGCACAACTCAAAATAATGCTGAAAATGAGAAGTAGAAATAATCAGAACCCATAATTAAAATGGCTAACTAAAGTGGCAGTATATTAAGGGATTATGTGAAGGTTGTTCCAAAATTTGACTCGCAGTCCTGCAGTGTGACTTCTACGACGACGGCCGTCAAATTGTCTTAGTTTTTCAAGACTAGCCATGACCAAAGTTAACGTTTTTGATCATGTTTGATCACGTTTTGATGACTACAGAGATTTCTCTGTAGTCATCATTTCAATCCCGGGTGTAATGCAGCTCACAGTCACTGAACGTGTCATTGATTGATGATGTAAAACTCTGGACAAGTTTTCTTGCATGCGTCTGTTTTAACGTGTCTTGACTTTCGTACAGTCTGACATCAATGACAACTGAGATCTTACAGTGTGACATGGCTTACAGCGAAGATCATGTTCGTAAAGTCTGACAAGCAACAATCGTAAAGGACGATAATAAATCGAACAGTGTGTACTCGGCTTAAGAGACCTTATTTTGGACAAATTCTAAGGCAGTATTACATGTATCCTTCACTGAGAAGACAAATCACTTAATGCATTGTGATGAAGACACAGTGCTAAAAAACAGATCAGAGATGCTGGATGGAAAGAGAGAAATGTTGATTACAAACAGGCTTTTGTTTCATTCAATACTGACTAGTTTTGATAAAAGTAGTTAATTATGTTGAAAAGTGTTTAAATTTAAATTAATTATATGAAAATGCTGTTCTTTTGAACTTTCTATTCATCAAATCATCCTGAAAAAGTCTTGAGCACCAAATCAGCATATTAGAATGATTTATAAAGAATCACTTGACACTGAAGTCTGGCGTTATAACCTCTGAAAAGTTAGCTTTGCCATCACAGAGATAAATAACATTTTTAAATATATTACAATAGAACAGTTATTTTACCTTGTAATAATATTTCACAATATTTTTACTGTATTTAAGATAAAATAAATGCAGCCTTGGCTAGCTTAAGATACTTAATTCAAAAACATTTAAAAAATGTGTTTACACACACACAATTTATTATTTTGCCTCTATTTGCGCTTATTAGCTAATTAATTAGTTTTTGGAACAGTAGAGCTAATATATGTGAATTTGACAGCTGTAAACAGTATTGAGTGCACCAAATAATTTCTGTCCTTTTGTAGGCCACCTTTGAAAAGCTGGAGAATGAGCTGAAGGAGATCAACACCAACCAAGAAGCTCTGAAGAAGAACTTCCTGGAGCTGACTGAGCTCAAGCACATCCTCAGACGAACACAGCAGTTCTTTGATGAGGTCTGCCTTATTTCATATCTTACTAAACCTTTAGCTTTTAGAGTTTCCTGTGGTCTTAGAGGCATTTTACACGGTATATGTCAGGCAGGGAGCTTTGCTTGTGGTCTTGCAGACTCTCTTGTGCACAGGCGTTTTGCACACAGGCGGTGTGAAACGTGTCAGTGCAACCACAATGATTTCTGTTACTGCTTCAGCTCGAGTAAAAATATGCTGCAGCTCAATGAGAAGATTACTGTAATATTTTGTCCTATGTTTCATGTAAGTAATGGCTAATAAAGCCATAAAAGATTGTCATAAACTTATCCTCCATGTTGTTCTTTGACCAAATAAAAGCTAAATACTATTTAATTAGTTTTGAATAAAGTCACCTCTGATGAGTCAATGACATGAAAAGATGACATTGCTAGCAGTTGGTTAGAAGAATCTTTTTTATGCTCAAGTTTGCTGTGGTGCCGTTATCCTTGACAGCTTTTGTTCTACCACGTTCCACTTCTTTTCCTTTTAAAATGAATTGGGAACTTATTGTTCCCCTTTACCGTGTAAAATGGCCACCATTCAATAGTCAAATGAAGAACTACAGTAACACAAACAGAGGAACCAAAACATGTTTTTCCATATGTCTGTGATAATGTTCGCGCTGACAAAGGCAGATGCATGTCTGACAGATTGAAAGGCCATTCTCTGAATTCCTGGCCACATCTCAACCGCTGATGATGATGTCAAACTGCCCTTCCCAAGACCAGTTCTGCAAGGTGTTCGACTCCCTATTCACAAACTCCTTGAAAATGTAAAAAACAGCCTTTTGTGCCCGTGATAATTAGCTCCTACCAGGGTGTTTCTTTTCTATCTTTCAGGCTTTCAGAAATTTTTGACCATACATTTCTCTGCTTCCTGAACACTGATCTGAACTTTAACATGTTATTGTGATATATTTCTTTTACGAGTTGTAAAAGATCATTTGAGAGTATGCAGTTAAGTTGTCTTTTAATCATTTACTTTACTCTTACACAAGCTTGTTGGGTGCTCACAGAGACTGGTGGTGGGTGGTGTGAGGATGGTGTGGCTCAGGGGTTAAACAACATCAAAAAGAAATGAGCATTTTCAAACCCTAAAATGGACTAATTCATGTGCAACCATCCCTGTGCCCTTGAGATAGGCACATCACCTCTGGTTATCCCTGTAATAAGTGCATCGGCTGAATGAGTATTATTAAATAACAAGATTGGCTGTGAAATAAATCTTTTTAATGGTTATTCCATTGAAGAATCACGATGACATAAGGTCACAGAAATGTGTTCTTTATTTATATGAAAGAAGTACTTTAACTATTAATGTAATTTCAGCATCTAACAATATTAAGTTAACTACAACTTTTATTGGAAAACAATTTCCTAAACCAACACTAGAATGAACTTTAAAATCAGATCATTTTTACAGAAAGAGATGAATAACTTAATGAATTGTGGTTTTCTCTTTTTTGGCAGATGGAAGATCCTTCTCTTTTGGAAGAGTCGTCAAATCTACTGGATCCGAAAGAGGTCGGACGCGTCGCTCCTCTCAGGCTTGGGTGAGTTTGTCAGTGGGTTTTGGTGTCTCTGTCTTATTGAGCTATTTTAAATGGACAGCTGAAACATGGATGCTTCATATGCAGTTCTAGATATTACAGTGTAATATCAAGAACTGTGTTCTAGAACTCATTCTTCGGAATTGCTTTCGGTGTATTTCCACATCATTTTACATCGTAAGCGGCATCCCTTAAAGATAACAGCTCACAGTTACTGCTTGAACTCTAGAAAAATTAAGTTTATATACACTGCCTGGCCAAAAAAAGTCACTGTTTGGATTTAAATAGGCAAATACTTAAGAGTCTATGACTTGATCATTATTGCTGTGATTATTATGTTTCTAGCATGTTATATGTTTGGCAACAGTTCTTCTAATCCTAATTGATGGAGTGTGTAGCTTTTCATTTCTTAATTATTCATGTAGGAAGACACATCATGGCCATATTCCAGAATGACAATGTCGCGATTCATCAGGCTCAAACTGTTAAATAATGGTTAGGAGGGAGCATGAAGAATCATTTTCACACATGATTTGGCATCTCTGAGTCCAGACCTTAAATTCATTGAAAGTCTTTGGTATGTGCTGGAGGAAACTTTACAGAGTGCTCGACTCTTGCACTGTCAATACAAGATCATGACCAAAAATGTATGCAGCTCTTGATGGAAATAAATGTTGTGAAGTTATTTCCATGAAGAGGTGCATACATTTTTGGTCAGTATCTTGTATTGACAATGCAAGAGTCAATCTTGACATTGATGAATCTTGACATTGTCATCCCGGAATATGACCATGATTTGTCTTCCTACATGGTTGTTTAAGAAATGAAAAGCTACGCCCTTCATTAATTAGGGTTGGAAGTAGGGGTGCACGATATATCGACTCAATATCGTTATCGCGATATCACGTTGCACGATATTATATTGAAAGTCTCGCAATAATTATGCGATAATTTGTTTATGATGCGTCCCGTCAGACATGCACCTCTCGAAAAATACACGTCGCTTGGTAGCGTTGCATTTCCCTGTTCTCCTTCTCCATAAACAACATGAAATCAAGGAGAGGGTTAACTTTTCATGCTACAGATTTCCCACAGTGGTCAGAAAGAACAGGGGAGACTCAGTATGACTCTAGAGTCGCTACTCGCTCCAAAGCTTATCGCCGTCACTCTTTCACTTCTCCCTCGCTCTACCACACAGTCCCCGCACACACACACACACTTGCCGGCTTGACGCACACCCCAGCGCACAAGTATAAACGTCAGGCTACCTGGCCACTTCATGTGTTTTCTCAAATCGGATAGCTATCAGATTTATCAAAACGATTCCATTTACACCTGGTCACATAAATGTGTTTTTGCAAAACGGATTTAGTCCGATCTTCAGTTCCCGCGCTATATGCCGATTTAATGGAGTTCACGTCACCGAAAGCAACAGTTATGAGCTGCATTTTATTGATCATCAGCTAAAATTTCTAAATCAAAGACCGCAATAAGAGAGAGCGGCAACAGCCTTGGGAAGATCATTTTGTTTCTTTACTTTTAATGAACATAATTGTGTGTTAAGCGTCTGCGACTTACTTTCACTTTGATTTGAGATAGTTTGCACGTTGGCTTGATGAATAGATGCTCATCTGCGGTAATGCGTGCTGCAGTAGGGTCATCATATCCAACTATAACATGACATATAGAGTCTGTTTAGTGTTTCTCATGACAATTTCTTTTTACTTGTTTTAATAGATTTATTTTTATTGTTTGTTTCTAACATGTCCTGTTCTGTAGACTTGCTCTTTATTTATTGTTTTTTATACTGTAGTGTACATGCAACCAGTAAAACATGTCCTGTTCTATAGACATGGTTATTATTTATTTATTCATGTTGTACCAGTCCAATATGACTGTCAGTTGAAATAAACTTTGTGTTGTAAAAAAACTTGTTTTATTTGTTATGAATCTATTTTGATGCGTTTTTGTATACGTAACTTTTGTAATTTTACATATGTTTAAAAATATCTAAATTAATATCGATATCGCAATATTCATTATCGATATCGCAGTATCACATTTTGTCAATATCATGCACCCCTAGTTGGAAGAATGGTTGCCAAAATTATAACATGCTAGAAACATAATAATCACAGCAATAATGATCAAGTTATAGACTCTCAAGTATTTGCCTATTTAAATCTGAACAGTGACTTTTTTTTGGCCGGGCATGCATATGCATTTTTGGCCGGGCATGGATGAAACATAGACGTTAATGGGGATGGTGCATTTTGTGATTTTTGTGATTTGCCTGCCTATTTTTTTCTTTGCCATAGCTCTAGAAGAATGCAGAACAGGTCTTTTGAACTGCTCTAAGTTTAAGGGTGTATGGATAGTAAATGCATCAAATGTTTAAATGCTAGTCATATGGTCGTATTGTTCTGGATTGAGCTGTAAAAAAATTCATTACAATGGGGGAGGTTGTTTTTTTAATAGATTTATGCTAGTGAGATTGAAGTAATAAAGAGGGATTTAACACACATTCTTATGTAACTGCTGCCAATGCCAGCGGGTTTGTCATTGTTCTGTGATCAATAATCCTGGCATGCCTTTAATACATAACATAAAACATATTTTTTCCATTCCGAGCACTGAATGAAAGGAAAGCACCATGAGGAGAGTTTAAAATCAGCATGAAACGAAAGTTGGAATAGTCTTCTGTTTCCTATTGTGATTTTATATCCAAGTGAAATGGCTTCTCAACAACAAGAAAAAATGTAGGGCGGGACTTGATTTTGTCCATGGGCAGGTCTGAATCTTCACTTGCCTCACAATTCAATTTGATTACGATTCAGAGGGTAACAATTCAATTATAAAACAATTCTCGATGCATCTTTTCCTCCAATGCTTTTATTTATTATTATAATTACTGTATTAATAATCACAATATAGTTCTTTTTATTATTTTTATCTTTGTTATTATTTTTCGTCATTTTTGGCACACCGCTTCCTCGACATTGACGGAACTTTCCGGCAATACTATTTTTTACTGTTATACGGTAGAGGGCACCATTACGCATCTTCTGTAAGAGTACAGAATCTCTGGATCAAAACACAGATGAAGAAGCAGCAGAAAGAAGCAGTTTCTTATGCGCATCATGTTGCAGTCTTTGAAATAAACACGCTTTTGCTTAGCTTTCTGTTCAAAATGTTGCCTTTTTTATTAAACTTACCCACATTTGCGTGTTGATAATATAAGAATGCATGAAGCTAGAATACTTTTTTTTTTAAAGCAGAAAGAAATGAAGGAATATCTAAACATGCAATGTATCGAATTAAATAATTATTTTATTGCATGGGAACCATGAAAGTTTTGTGAAAATTATCAAAAATGTTGTCAGTGTTTTTTTTTTTTTTTTTTTATGCTGACGGGGAAAGAGTTAAAAATAAGAACAGAGATGCAAAAAACAAACGGTAGAACAAAAACAATATAAGAAAGAAAGAAACAAATTAAATTAACAGTGCTTTACTTTTTTTTTTTCATTTGACATCTATTTAACAGAAGCATTCAGGTAAGAAATAATACAGAAATTGAATAATCAAAAGTAATTATTGCATAGTCTTTAGATTATTTATTTGTAATTAATAGATTATTATTAAGCTATAAAAGTTATTTAATCAAGAACAGTGAGTAATTTCCTCTTTTCTTTTGTTGCTTGATTAGCATTAATTATTAACAGCAGCAGATGTATTATATTTAGACCTTATGACCCCCCCCCCCCCCCCCCCCCCCCCAACTGTTTACGTTCACTAAAGATGTAAATACTCGCCAAGACAGATATTCTAAAATAATTCTGTATCTGACCGTTCTAGCGCAATATGCAGCTAAAGAGATCTGAATTCAGGATCGTATGCTGTCTGAGAGAGGCGGCTTTCTGTACGCGCACTTCAAGTGTGTCAGTCAGCACGAGTAACGCATTGAGATCTTTTTCATGGCTTATTGCGCTTAATAACTTTGTCTGATCTGAAACCGAAACATCAGACACAAGTTCTTTGCTTCCTGAGGACATATGCAACTTTTTATTAATATATAATAAACTTTATATGCAGAGATATCCTCTGTGTTTGTCTCTCACCTGCACAACCTCAGCTGCAAGTTTAAATTAAATCTCTAGTTGACGTTTCAATCTAAGTTTAAAGTAATGGAAAAACAGAATTAATGTTAACCTAGGGTTACTGTAAAAATTAATCTATAAAGGCTATAAGATCAAAATGTTGGTTTAAATGTAATTTATTACACATTATACATATGTAACAAGAAGTTTGGTGTTGCAGTATTATTAAATAAAACTGGATTTAATCCAGATTTAAGATTAATTGTTATTGGTAAAACCCACCCAAATTTCATATAACAAAAATCATATTTTGAAAATAAGGATTAATATTAAACCTTTTGAAGAACAGCAAATATTTGTTGTTTTGAATATCAGTTCATTATCCAGATGTCTGCTGTTAGAGGAGAATGATTTAATTCACTCATGTTTGACACTGTTTGCAGGTTTGTTGCAGGGGTGATAGGCAGGGAACGGATTCCCACCTTCGAGAGGATGCTGTGGAGAGTTTGCCGTGGAAACGTCTTCCTGCGGCAGGCAGACATCGAGGACCCACTTGAGGACCCCGCCACAGTAAGTTTACCCTGTGAGACAGAAAAATAAATAGCTTTTAGATAACTTTGCAAGCTAAAAATGTAATCTCTTGTCTATATAGTTTTCATTTTGGATTATTAGTTAAATAAACTGCATATTTAATGGTAACTTCCTCTTTTTTCCCCCTCTTTTTTTCAGGGAGACCATGTGCACAAGTCGGTGTTCATCATTTTCTTCCAGGGAGACCAGCTGAAGAACAGAGTCAAGAAGATTTGTGAAGGGTATGAGAGCATCACTGCCATTAAGAAGTCACACAACATAGTGACCGAAACAGAAGAAAACCGTATTTACATGAGATTTTAAAAACATGAGGTTGTTTTCAGATTTTGCAGACTTGTTCCTTATAATACTTTTCAAGTTTGGGGCATTTTTTTCAAGCATTTATTTGATCAAAAATACAGTAAAAACGGTAATATTGTGAAATGTTATTACAATTTAAAATAATTGTTTTCTGTTTTAGTATATTTTGAAAAGGTATTTTTTTCCTGTGATGGTAAAGCTGAATTTTCAGCATCACTACATTTTTAATCTTCAGTCACATGATCCTTCAGAAATCATTCTAATGTGATGATTTGGTGCTCAAGAAACATTTCTTATTATTATCAAACAGTTGTTTTGCTTATTCAGGATTCTTTGATAAATAGAAAGATCAAAAGAACAACATATATTTGAAATATAAATCTTTTGCAACGTTATCATTTGTTATTGCCCCTTTTGATAAAAAAAAATCTTAATGAATCCAAACTTGTGACAAATATTTGGCAAATTCATAAAATCTAAATATTGCATGTTCATACATATTGCAATGTGTTATTTACTTGTATTTTTGTGTACTCTGCACAATCACAATAAATATCTAATGCAGTCTTTTACTAATATATTTATGTTAGGTTTCGGGCATCTCTATACCCCTGTCCCGAGACCCCACAAGAGAGGAGAGAAATGGCAGCCGGAGTCAATTCTCGAATTGATGATCTCCAGATGGTAAGACGTGAGGACACACACACACACATTCTTTAAAAATAATGTAAGTGGTTGTAGGCCGAGTCTTTTTTTTAAAGTTCATATTTTTATTGTATGAGGTGAAAGACTGATCAGGGTTCTTATGAGTCCAGACCTGGTCTAGTGCTGTTAGAATTGTTACTTTGTTCACTCTGCCCACATTCTGATTCAGTTTTCAAGTCCTGCAGGACTGACTTGCACTGTCATTTTGCAAATGATGAAATCTGATCTGCTCTTTCAGACGGTATTGTCAATAAACGTTGTATCGTTGTCAGTTGCTATAGTAATAATGTAAGCACCAACACAATGGCAAGACCACCTGTTTGTGGTCTGACCAACGTCTCTATAGCCTCGTTTACAGTCAGTGAAATGTGACCCAATTCCGATTTTCATGGTGATGTTTGGTGAACTTCGCAAAGCTAGCATCAAGCATAATTTCGCGTTCGTCCATCTGTGCAAGAACCCCCTTTAAGCATGTGCGATGTTTCAGATAGTTTGTCAAGTGTAAACACATGAATCGGATATGGGTCACAATTGAAAGAACTTGTAAACGGACGGTCAAAAAAATCAGATATAGGCAACAAATCAGAATTGGGCATCAAGACCTGCAGTGTAAACGAGGCCTATGTCCTCATATCGGTGTGTGTGTCTCATCTTTTTCGTCTTAAGTGGAAACCCTAACCTGACATTGTTAAAACACATGATTTTATGATGGTAGCAACATCAATAAATTTGTTATGACAATTTCCTTTTTTCCCTGAACTCCTCAGTCTGATCAGATGTTATTAAGTCAGGGATTTTATAACAGATTTGTTTACAGAGGGAAAGAGCCTTAAAGATTCAAACATGTTTCCAGAGCCAGTAAACTCATGAATGCCTGTTGGTGTTTAGGTGATGTATATGACTGAATATGATTTGACAGTATTTGACAATTGATGTAATTGTCTTGATAAACTGCAGCTGAGTGGCGTAATGGAATTACATGAGATAAGAGTGTGCCCAGAAACACAGATTAGATTAGAGAAGGGTTTTTGTTACAAGTAAAACACAAGTAAAATAATTAAACACTAAATTACAAGGAAATGACTTTTCTTTTTTTTACAAATCTCACTAAAATACAGCAGACCACTGCAATCTGACCATATAATACATTTATGCATTTGACGGTGCTTTTATACATAGCAACTTCAATAGTAGTATTCTAGTTTTGTTGCCATTTCAATGATTATGTCAGATTAATTAGCTGTTTTTTTCTTGCATATTATTAACGGTTTGCACAAATCACTGTCACCAGATCACAGAGTAAATATATATATATATAAATATGTAATTTTTTTATTTTTACTTGCTGAATTGATCATTCTTCGTGCCTTTCCTAATATACTGTGACGCCCCCTGGAGGTCTGTGCATCACTTTGAATAACATCTGAATTAGTCTTTAAGTCTCAAAACTCTTTTTCTTCAATTTCCTTCTCTGTTTATTTATTCATTATCTTGAGTTGAGTTTAAACTAACAGATTTACAATAAAGCACAGGTTAATTTGACAGAAATATCCACTGGCTGCATCAGCGCACACACGCTTTCTGTCGATCCGTACGGCAGAGGGAATCTCCCGTAGTGAGTCATTAGAGGCTACTACTCGGTTTAATGGGGGACTGCTGGATGGTGTTACAGCTCTGGGTCTTTGAGAGAATCTCTCAAATCTCTGCCTTATTTGGGAAGGAAAACTTTGGGTGAGTGTGTCCTCACACATTTACATAGTACCCATACCATCCCGCCCACACAGATGCCCACACAGTTTGGACCTTCAGCACATGGCGAGGCAGTTTATCACTGCTGCTAACTTCTCACGTTCGATTTTTTTTTGTCTGCAGTGGCACATACAAGTTTCTAGCGTTATGTCATTTTTCAACACTTGTTGAAAGCGATATACTGCGTTAAACAAAAAATCACACCAAATCATAATTTGGACCTTAAAGGGATACTCCACTTTTTTTGGAAATAGGCTCATTTTACAACTCCCCCAGAGTTAAACTGTTGAGTTTTACCGTTTTTGAATCCATTCAGCCGATCTCCGGTTCTGGCGGTACCACTTTTAGCATAGCTTAGCATACATCATTGAAGTGGACAAGACCATTAGCATCTCTAAAAAAAAAAATGATCAAAGAGTTTCGATATTTTTCCTATCTAAAACTTGACTCTTCTGTAGTTACATCGTGCACTAAGACCGACGGAAAAGGTAAAGTTGCGATTTTCTAGGCTGATATGGCTAGGAACTATACTCTCATTCCTGCGTAATAATCAAGAAACTTTACTGCCGTACCATGAGTGCAGCAGGCGTAATGATATGACGCAGCGCCTGAAAATAGGCTACCTTCCGTCAACACAACGGAACTATTTTCAGGCGCTGCGTCATATCATTACGCCTGCTGCACTCATGGTACGGCAGTGAAGTTTCTTGATTATTACGCAGGAATGAGAGTATAGTTCCTAGCCATATCAGCCTAGAAAATCGCAACTTTACATTTTCCGTCGGTCTTAGTGCACGATGTAACTACAGAAGAGTCAAGTTTTAGATAGGAAAAATATCGAAACTCTTTGATCTTTTTTTTTTTTAGAGATGCTAATGGTCTTGTCCACTTCAATGATGTATGCTAAGCTATGCTAAAAGTGGTACCGCCAGAACCGGAGATCGGCTGAATGGATTCAAAAACGGTAAAACTCAACAGTTTAACTCTGGGGGAGTTGTAAAATGAGCCTATTTCCAAAAAAAGTGGAGTATCCCTTTAACAGGGTAGAGCCATATTTAATTTTGTCAGGAATGAAATCGAGGCTGTGAGAAATACATGTTGTGTGTGCTCAGTGGATTGTACAACATATTGTTTAACAACATAACGATTGTTCAGCTGACGAAAAACATCTTTCAAACAAAACTCAATAAAAGTGTGAAAATGACATGATGTCAAATGCAAATGCAAAATGACAGTGCATTCCATTGTAAGGACTGTAAGTCCATCCCTCACAGCCTCGTTTTCATCTGTGTTAAATTTAATATGGCCTCTAACCTGATAGACAGCTATGTGAAGTAAGATTTTGGGCCACTGAGGTTTCTCAGTAGGCGGGGCTACCTATAAAACGTGATCAACAAAAATCTGATTTGGGTAAAAAAACTTAAGCTGTCATCACAACTGTAAGGTGCCTTTCGCAGCGGCTGTCCCATAGTGAGCGTTCCTGTCTATGCATACCCACATACTGAGGGAGTTTGTTCTTCATGTTAGCCACACTTATTCGCTGATTCGCTCTCATCCCACACCCCCTGAAAACCCACATACATATCTGTTTGCTCTCGGACTTTTTCAAAAGAAATGAAGGAACACGTCCAAGCACAAGAGTGCTGACAGGGCCAGGACAAAGCGCACACTCGAGTTCCATGTCACTGACTCACTTGGAGCTAACAGCGGGCCTGTTTGTCCGGAGGTGAGAGAGAATGGTCACTATGCTTGTGTGTGTCTTTCAGTCAGGCGTTAATGTCTTTAATGTCCCTGTGCTCTTCTCCCAGCTTTGGAGAGAATTTGGTTTCTTTTAGTTTGATGCACATGCCTTGTTTGTGTTTGTTACTGTTTGAGAAAGACAGAAGGTCTTCTGGACACATTATTGAGGATTAAATAAATCCCAGAGTGGGCGAGTTTGTCTTATTTGTCAGTGTGGGTGAGTCTCCTTGTTTCCAGCGTGGGTGAGCATGTGGGTTATTCTAGTGTGGGTGAGTGTGTCTGATTTCACAGTGAGCGACTGCGTATGTCCCACCCAAGTGAGCGAGAATGCGCATTTGGACATTAATGTTGCCACTCTATCTGTCTAACATGACAACCAGATGCTGGCTCACTTCCTTGGCCACTCCTGAATGATTGTGAAATTCTTTTTACCTAAATAGAAGATACATAGGCTATATTCAGACAACCAGGGTTTGGGATTCATAAACATCTTTACCAGCAGGTGTGTCTGTTCATACAACAGCAAAAAGGAGCGGCTTGTATACTTTCTGTATGGACAAATAACTAAACTTAAAGTCCCTGTAAAGTCAAAATTAAGTATGTGTTCTGAGTTTGTCACACCACAGAAAAATGTGTTATTAGCCACCCAGCCAAATTTGAATGATAAAAAAAGCCTGCAAGTACATAAAATAAACTATCAAAATGTTGCAAAAATGAGCAGTATTCTCTGCTCTCAAACGCTGGGGGCGTGTCCACTGGCTGCGCTGAAGCCACGCCCACTCGCAGGAAAGCAGCCGACGCTGATATTAGGTGATACTGCTTTCGCGACGTGGAGATGAAGGCCGAGGCGGGAGATAGTCGGTTCGGCCCCATTCACCAGTAACAGCGGATTATCAGTGAATCCCAGTTGTCTCCGATGAAAGTTTATAAAACTATCCGTGGAAAATGATCACTACAGAGGGGGGTGTTGGTGATCCTCAGCTCTCCATCAAGGTTGGCTCTTCACAAAATTAATCCACTTCTTCTTGATGTGATCGTGTGTAGGAAATTTAAATAAAGACACCGATCTGTTTTGTACATGATCGCATCCAGGTAGTGTGTCGAAGGCATAGCCAGCTAACAAACTGCAGGCTGTAGTAACGGTAGTAATAGTGACTCGCGATTGAGCGGCGAACTGATGTGAATGTGCTCTATTGTTAGGGGAGGGGCCAGCCTCAGTGGCCTCAGTGCGTCATCAAACAGGGGCGTGTCCACGAGCTCAGGGGCTCCAGTGCGTCAACGAGCCCCGTTTTAGCCCCGCCCAAAAAATCCGGAAAATAGCAATGGTGAAAAACTGTTTAACGGTCTTACTCCACAATTCAGTACTTCACAGTTCACAGTCTTTGTAATATGTTTTAGCAATACATTTCTAACATTTATAATCTGTTTAGAATTTTTTTTAGAATTGCCTTTACAGGGACTTTAAGCCCCTATTCCTGCAATAGCTGTGAATAACACTTGTAACTATTGAGACAAGTGAGGTTGCGTTGGTTAATTACTTGTTCGTGTTTCTTGTTCAATGCAACAATAAACACAGCTTGAGGACTGATGTTCGATTGGCAAACAAATAACTCTTAGGCCATGCTTAAAAATATTCTTGTTTGCCGTAACCCGACCGACCCTGTCAAATTAGGACCGACCCAATTATTTATTTTTTTCCCCTTTTAGTCCGACCGACTTGCCGGTTGTAAACTTGCATTAAGACCGACCGATTTTTTTTTTACTCTTCAAACAACTAATACAAATGCAATAAAATAATATACATTTATTATAGTAAGTATTGTGAATATAAATTGCGTAGGCTACGTTCTTTCTTTTAAATAAAAACCCGTGGCGTCATCTATTATGATTATGTTTACACCATTGGTTTACGCATGTCACACTATGGCCTGTGCGTTCGCTTCGTTTCATTCACTGTCAATGGTTCGCGCTCGGTGATGATGGCTGCGGCGCGGCTGCTTGTGAAATACGTCTGTATATGAGCCTACATTTAGTCGCTCATTATTTGAAATTCTTAATGGTCAAATAGGGAATCGATGTTAACGGCCTTTTCTCGGAGCCCGTCCAGCTCGTCATGACATGCCCACCGCGAACGCGCGTCACACAGCAACTGCAGGCTCTGACAAACAAACACACATAAGTGTGGGAAGCCAAACACACCGAAAGGGGGACGAAACGGCGCGGTGTGTTACAGAGTTCGCGCTGCGCTGACTTGTAATCTGCGTGGCTCAATGGACCGAGACGCGCGAGCGCGACAGACTCGACAGCGCAGGAGAAGTGTTTGCTTGCGCCAGCCAATGGTCAGAGCGGCGCGAATTAATCTCACCAGCGCCGCGCTGACCAATAAAACAGCACATCCCATACCGAAATGTACTAAATTGCACAAAAGAAAATCGACCATTCCATAATATGTCAGGACTACTTAATCGGCCTATAGTTTCCTACAATGCGCCTAGCTATTTGGCCACACTGATTTCCGTTAATAATAGCAGATGTTTATGGGTCAAATCTCTCACTCTCTCCCTGCAACTTTTTGTTACCCTCCTTTCCTGCCCCTAGACCAGAAAGGGGGCTTGTAACAGTATGGGTCAAATGTAAACGAATGGTGCCAAACGCGCTGTTTTATTGGTCGGCGCGGCGCTGGTGAGATTAGTCATTTTAATTTATTTGTTTCCCTCTGAAAATCCACTTTCATTGAAATCTAGTGGCTCCTTTTTTTCTTTTGATTCTGCCTATTTTTTTCCAAATGAATGCAGCTGGAATTAATGCAATAAATATGTTTTTTTTTTTTTACAAAGATTTCAAATTGTTTGTGGTCTATAACCTGTATCAGAATGAGGTTCGCAATGGTGCGCCCGAAGGCATGGGGGTTGAAGACCCAGTCAGTGACGTCACGATATGCAAATTTGTTTAAATTCATACCGACCTAATCACCATGACCAAAATTATCCTTTTTTTTTTACATTGAATCTTGAAAAAAATATATATAGACCTACCTACCGACCCTTTTTTTTTTTTTTTTTGCTGTTACTGCAAACCAAAATATTTTTAAGGATGGCCTTATGGTCATTAAAAAAAGTTTCACAAGCTCATGAGCGTGAGAACAGTTTGACAGACAGAACGTGAGAATCCCCACACTTGCGTTCTTTGCACTGGACCACTAACATATTTCCTGTATTTGGCCAAAGTGTTTAAGTGGGCATGAAGACAGCACGTGTGTGTAGAACTTTTGATTGGCCAATGGAACACACTACATCAAAATACAGTAGTAATGTAAAGTAACATTTTTACATTTATTTACACATTTTGATTACATGACTGTTTGTGTTTCTAATCATTTGTCGCATGATTCTGTGCGTTTCTAATCATTGTTATCACCTGTGCTTATAAAGAGTTACATCTCACTCCACAAGGGTACATTGTGCCTTATGAAGACCTGATTGGTCGAAACGTTGCAATTTGGGTTTTTGATATGCATACTTTTTTTGTATTTTTGATTCATATATTTCAGGCTGTTGTACTCTTGTGACTCCATCATGGCCAATGAAGAACTTGTCTCTTTAAATAAGACATTTGAGTTTAGTGAAGCAGATTATTCTGGGATCCTTCTAAAAGACAATTTTTGACAACAATGAGGTTTTGTAGATGATATATGTTGAATCGGTTGGCCTTTTTCTAGCATTATGGCTTTCCCATTCACATCACTTTGATCAATATACATTTATCCACCTAATACCTTTTATAAATTGTCTATCTAGAAAACAAAACTTAACTTTTCTTATGAACTTATGTGATATTCTTTTGACAAAATACATCATGAAATATAAACTGCACCTGTGCAACAGGTGCATTAGAGCTACAATTAGCATCAAGCTACAGTACATAGGACAATTTATACGATTATACTATTAATACTGTGCTTTCACTCAAAACTCACTGTAAACTACCAACGAGTGTTTGCAATAATTTCCAATTGCGATCTAATGTGGGGTTTGGTCATATGCTGTTGAAATATGTTATTTATAGCCCTTTATAAGAATCGCTGCACCCGCTTAGCATTTCTCATGTAATCCTTTATTGTAATGAAAATAAGCCAAATCGCATGAAAATCACATACTATCATTTACCATCTTAATCGTGTGCTTATAACTTCATGTTTCACGTGTAGAAACATTTCTCTGGGTTTCTTGTATACGGAACTGACCGTGGAAGTGTTAATAGAAAATTAATAGAAATGATTCTGTCTATGAAAACAATGAAGTAAATATATAAATATTTCCAGATATGAGCGGACTAAAAGCCCTAATGAAGGCTGTTCAGTGAAGCTATGTGAACACAAATAAACCGGAGCAGACAGCAGACTGAATATGTTGTTATTCTATTCAAAATATAAAAATTACAGATTGATTATTTTGGACTCCTGGCATAAATTAAGAAATTAATATCACTGCAAACGAGTTTTATCCTAAACAGTGGTCAAATATCGAAGCTGGAGTCTTAAATCTTTCTAATGATACCCAGTTTGTCCAGATCAAGTAAGAGTGTGATGTTTTAACATGCAGTGAAGGTTGAACAACAATAATCTGGGGGCCCTGGCAATCTTTGCATTTAAAGGTGACACCTTCCCACAAAATATTGGAAATTATGCACATGTGAAAATAAATAATGCATAAATGGTGCCTGCTACATTCCCAAATGCAAGCTGAACTCACAGCACATGCGGAGATGGAGTTCACTGAGACGTGGAAAACACTGGATCATCGCTTTTTAAACACAGCACAAACAGGCTATATACTCACTAAATTTAATCGCAGTCTTTTGCGATTTGATAAGGGCACAAAGTCATATCGCGCTTTTGATTTTAGTTCGTTTGACAGATACTTTGCCAAAGCAATGGCGCAAAACAACGTTAGAAACTTTTGTCTTATTAGGAGGTTTAAAAGTATTTTTGATTCATTATGAAACTGGTGGCACAGATTAGACTATGGTGGGCCGCAAGAGTCTAGGCAATTAATAGGAAACACTGCATCAGATGTTTGAAAGAGTGACATGCAAAGTCAGACACTCAACAGCAATCTACCAAGATTCAGGTTTCAACCCAACCACTGCTCTTTCAGCTCTAATTGTGACCATATCACCTCTGTCCAGTGATCTCACATTTCCTGTTTTGACCCCTCCTCTTCCTCTGTGCTTTGTGTTCTAGGTGTTGAATCAGACGGAGGATCACAGACAGCGTGTTTTACAGGCGGCTGCCAAGACTGTCCGAGTGTGGTTCATCAAGGTCCGGAAGATGAAAGCCATTTATCACACTTTGAACCTCTGCAACATCGATGTCACTCAGAAGTGTCTGATCGCTGAGATCTGGTGCCCTGTGTCAGATCTAGACTCCATTCAGTTTGCGCTCCGTCGGGGCACGGTGAGGACACACACGTACACATTGTTTGATGTTTTTATTAGGGGTGTGACGTACACAAAACTGGCGGTTTGGTTTTGAAGTCACGGTTCGGTACGGGTTCAGTACAGCAAGGGGGAGTAAACTAAACATAAAATTGCTTTTTTTAAATTTATTAAGCAGTGGTTTACTGAAAAAATTGTGTCTCTGTCTTTAAATTAATTCAATTTTAATTCAAAGTTTCTTAAGTATAAAAAAAAGAATCTCTGTTTATGCTGTAAACTATATAGGTAGCCCTTACTTGTACATTACTATAATATTGAAGGTTAACAACAGAGCCCAAACTTTTTGCCTAAATTCAGTTCCTATTTCTTTTTAGATATAATAATCAACACTCTCTAAGGGTACGTTTTCACGACAACGATATGCTTTAAACGGAGAAGTTTTTCCTTTAAGTTTTCTGTGTACAGATGACACCATTGTTAAAATGATCCCCATTCACATGGATCCGCGAAAACGTCTAAAAACACTATAGACTGAACACGTAATACGCATGTGCATGACGTGATCATCTTCAGAGATTCACATTTTTGTTGTTTACACAGAGACCGTATTCAAAAACGTCCACTTTTGAAACCTGTTTGCGTTTTCAGGCATTGCGTTGTCGTGTAAATGAACGGCCAAAGCGCATAAAAAGTTTTACGTTTTTAGTTGAAAACGGTGTTGTGTAAACTGCCCCTAAATAATCAAGACATTATTAACAGGTTAAGTAAAATATAATGAATATATAGGCTAATATAGTGCATATATTTTAGCGAAAGAGTTCATTTCTTTTGTGAACTAACCAGCTGTGGACATTGAATGACTTGCCTGAGGTAAATGTAATGCTACGTGACGCCGTTGAAACACTGATTGAGCGATTACACGAGATATAAGTTTCAGTAAATTGTACTGTATCTTTCAACATACCTTCAGATGTTCATTTGTTTATTCTGTAACTAGTATTAACTTGTAACTAGCTGCTGCTTGAACTGAGGAACCTATAAGGTGGTCATCTGTCACGCCACATTAAAGAGTGTTTTCTTGTTTTGTTTGCATTTCGTGACAAAATGGACAGAATTTGAAAGATGACATTTTCGAAAAGTTACTAAATGCTGAGCTTATTGCGATAATTGGTGGTTAATGGTGGTCAGGCTACAATGCTGTATTCGTTGAGGACACATAACCTTGTAATGTGACGCGTACCAAAAATTTGTGTGACGAATACATGTACTGTTACACCCCTAATTACTATTTAATCAAATGTCAAGGAAGAAAAATTTGTTTTGTAGAGGTAAAGTGAGGTCAACCTCAACAATGGGCCAAGGCTGGGCCGGTGCAGCAGAGGGCGTGGGGCGTTCGGTACATCATGGGAATTTTTCGGTTCGGTTTGAATATTGTTACACACCTATTTTTTATAAACATCCTGAAATCTTGAGCCAGAGGAGGTTGGCATCTTATTCTTCAGGCTGTTACCCAGTATAACTGAATCCACCAAATCAAATTGCAATATAACCTTACCTCGATATAATTCATTACATTTAAATTTCTCTGTAAGAGAACATCACTGATACAGGGGCCTGATAAAATAATTGAATTCCCTTTACAGTAGGAAAACATTCAGTGTCATTTTATTTTGATATCTGATCTCAAATCTGCATCGTAGATGTTACAATTGACCTGTGTCATTGTTGTTTGAATTCTATACTATAATTCTATACTATACTTTAAGAGCTCTGTAAGTAATATGAAAGACGTATTTAGACTAATTTGAGGAATATATACAGTAGGCTTCTTACTGTTGTAGTTTATGGATATTTTAAAGACCCCATGATGTGGCTTAATGGGTTATTGTTGACATCCCGTTAAAATAGAACATTGTTGCGGGACATATTGAAGCGATAGTCATTTTTATATATTTTTTTACAGTAGCCAGCTTTCTGAGCCGCCCTATAACAGGAAGAAAACACTTAGAACATTATTTAAAACATTCAGTATATAGATTTTACTTATATCAGCACAGTAATCTGTTTATTTCTTTTCTTTAAGCATATTATCGTATCAGCAAACACCAATATCGATTGACCTCTATGTATGTATTGATATATTAGTATAAACTAATTTCAATATATATCTATATATTGAATAAAACATGTTGTGAGTATTTTAAACTTGCAGTTACCCTGTTTTCCAGTTGAATGTGTTCCCCAGCCTATTATTAAGTAACAGAATCTGAGATGCAAGATGTATTTTGAGATTGTATGGGTTTGTTCTGTACATATGAATTTAGTCCATTTAACATTGGTATGTTAGATCACATATATTATCACAACACATGTGTTGTCTCTAAGGAGTAGCCTATTTGTTCTTGTCATCACATTCAATGACTCACACTTTGTAAACATGACTTTAGCTTGTGTTATCCCAGGACACAGACACATGCACACAGGAGACTGAGTATTAGGACGGAATGCTCAGATGCTTTTACATTGAGTCATGAGACCCCTCAGATCAAAGTTTGATTTTTCCTGTGGTCAAGAGCAGCTGAAACCTGATCCTCCTCCCATAGTGCCACAAATGGACTCTGTCAATCACTTCTGCTCTGCCCTGTTGAAAAAAATTGATAAAACGATGGGTGAGATTGGCAATGGTCATCCACTCCCTCAGTTTTTAGTGTGTTGCCAATGCAAACGAAAGAGAGAATGCTTGTGTGTGTGTGTGTGTGTGTGTGTGTGTTTTATAGTAGTAAATAGTAAATTATAAATTGTTTTTATAAAAAAATATAATATAAATAACATCAGGTTTTTATTAAATTAATACATACATACATCTTTTTCACTAAAAAGATCAAATATATTTAAAAGACTCTTTATATTGTCCTTTGAATGCATACTAGTAATACAGTGCATTAATTCAGAATGATTGTATCAGCACGTTGGAACAAAAATCTGAACTTCCACTAAACCTACATGAACCAAACTTGAATACACAGCATGTTCTATTCTTTTTATGACAGATATTATAGAGTGATTTGTTTATATAGTATTTATTTGCTGACTTATTATACAGTTTGTGTAAACAGACAAAAATGCACTAGAACATGACCTACAATCAGTGCCGTCGCAGGTGGGGTGCGAGGCCCTGTGTGAACTTAAATTGCGAGGCCCCTCCCAGGCTCTGAACGTTAGAATAATTGGCTGCGCAGCCTACTTGTTAGCCTTGTCTGCTTACATGAATTATAAATAAACATAAAAAACATAGGCTATTTGCAGTATATTAAATCGTTTTTGACCTAATTATTTGGTACTGAAATTACACACTCTGTCGGCTCTGACGGCGTTGCATCACGTGCACCTGCGCAATAAAGCCTATGATTTCCGAAAATAGTACTATGTCAACTAGTGATATCAGCACAAGAACTGTTGAGGAATATGCAACTGATTTAGACAATTGTTTTTGTCATAATGTTATAATAACTGACAGACACTATCATTTCAGCCGCTCTGTGCATCCTTGCACAGAGCGAGGCTGAAGCTCAGCTTCGCGGCTGAGACACGAATATATTTAACATGATTATTACTAATTGGCATATTTCAATGCCAATTCTTATATATTCATTCATATAGCCTACTCAAAACAGACGGGGCAACCTAACGCAGACAAGTTAGCTCACCGTTTTTAGGTGATATGCCATGTTAGTAGTCGAGCTGTGATATGCAAATTGTTGCTTGCAAACTTTGCATTCGACTTTTTTCCCATTATCTATTTTCGTAAAATGCTGCCACACTGTCGATGTCTTTGACATGGTAAAGGAGGACTGACAGTAAATTAAACGCTCGCAATTAAATTAATATTCAGCAAACCTCCATACCAATGCCTTCGTTCTAGTACTTTCTTCAATCTGTCTCCAGTGGGTTGGGCTAATCCAAAAAAGTGAAAACAACGGGGGTGTTCTGAAGACAGGCTGTTACCTGTGAAACAGGGGTTCTCTGAAAACACCCCCATTAGCAATTCGTGCTTTCCACCTGATGAAATTAACACGTCAAAAAATCAAAAAATCCAGAACGTATCGACCAATAAATCGACTAATCGACTGGGAGATTACAGCCCTATAAAAAAAAAACCTTAATTTGTTGGGGGGAGAAAAAAATAAAAACAGCAGTATTGCGAGGCCCCCTAATGGTGGGAGGCCCTGTGCGGTTGCACAGTTCGCACAGCCCTTGCGACGGCTCTGCCTACAATGAATTGGTTGGGCTCAGGATGATATAGTATGTGCGCTGAAGATCCCTTGAGCGATAGATTCTAGATTCTCATAGTTACTCACAGTAGAAGGTGTGTGCGAGTTAAGGATGCCTCTGTGAGGTCCGGATTCTCACGCCTTACAGCAAGACAGTGAGGGCAGGGTGGGTGTAATACCTGTAATCCCTGCAGTGCGAGGTTGTAGAGTAAGGGTCAGAGGTCATTGGAATGTTAACCTCGTAATAGTCACATCGTAAGAGGATTAACTGCTCACACAAATTCACCTTCTGTTCTTCTGTGTTTGCCTCTCTGTCTTTATAGGGTTAAAACAGGTTATGCATCGTTTATATAGTGGCAGCAACCTACAGATGGACCAATTTGTAAATCCGTGCAAACCATTGTTTAGTAACAAAAAAGTAGCTTCCCTCTGAACCTAAACTAGAAGTGTAATAGTGTTAAGTCCACGTAGGCAGTGTGTTGGAATGTGAGGGACTGTGCTTGCGTGCTAGTTCAAAGCCTGTCCTTACACATGGCATTCTTCCTCATGCCTTATTTAACTAGCAGCTATTAATATCAGCTGTCTTACACATTGCCTCCACATGCACTTACATGCTGTAGACTTCACCTACTACTCAAGTTCAGTTTAGGATATACAGAATCTATTTAAAATTTAAGCAAACGAGTGACACTGTTTTCACAAATATATTAAAGCTTACATAAGTGCAATGTAGACTTGCAAAGACAAGTGAAACGTTTATGAATTTGGGCATTCATACAAATGCACCACTATTTACTGGGAAGCAAACTGGAGCATTTTATTTTTATGCATATCTGTTTGTGTTCAATTCCACTATTACTTGCAGGAGAAAAGTGGATCCACTGTTCCCTCTATCCTGAACAGAATGCAGACCAAGCAGACCCCACCCACCTACAACAAAACCAACAAGTTCACCTCTGGCTTTCAGAACATTGTCGATGCCTACGGCATCAGCAACTACCGGGAGATCAACCCAGGTAACCCTGAACTTTAACCTTTAGTCTCGGAGCAAGTCCCAAAGTCCTTTGCAGTGATTAAAATGGGCACACATATTATAATCAACATATTGTTTGCATCCATTTTTGTGCTCAGCTCCATACACCATCATCACCTTCCCCTTCCTGTTTGCGGTCATGTTTGGCGATCTGGGTCACGGTGTACTCATGACCTGTGCTGCACTTTATCTGGTGCTGCGAGAGAGCCGATTAATTTCCCAGAAAAACGACAATGAGGTATCCATCCACCCATCCATTTATGCACCTAGGGCTGGGCGATATGGCCCAAAAAAATTATCACGATATTTTTTTTATATCAGTCGATATCGTTAATTATCATGATAAATGTCAAATCTTTATTTCTTTCAAGTTTAAAGGCAGATTTTTGCTCCTAAGTGAAAGTTGTATAAACCAGAGCGTTAATTGTGGTTTTAACTCTTTATTGTCAGAACATATCATGACAAACACTTGCCAAACAGGTGAACATTTCACAAATCTGAGGTAGAACATTCAAATATTTGTAATTTTTTCTTAACAAAATTAATATCTGAATAGAAAAATATTTCTTCAGCACAGTTTGCAGTGCAGCCTGCAATATTCAAATTACATGTTTTGTCTCGAAATGCATATTTGACAGTGAGTTGACAGTAAATCTGCATCCTAACTCAAGCTAATACTACTCTGTTAAATTTATGTTCATTAATAATGAATCATGTTTAATTTGGTAAAATGTAATATTCTGACTGTTTGAGTTTTATTAAAATTAACCATTGGTCATCCATTATCATGCATTTAGATCATGATAACCACAGATAAAACCAGGCAAAGCCTAACCTTTAGCACCTCACTATCATGGCAAAATGTAACTTTATGGTTTCTATGGTATTTGTATGAAAAACAGTAGCCTAACAGTTAAATACATTATTAAATACTATAATTATATTCCATTAGTCATTTAATACATTGTCTACATTAATAATATTATACAATTCAATATGTATATCCCACATTTCATGGTGCAGTTAATATTACAAGGCTAACCTTACAGTAAATCCATGGTAGGCTAAATGGATTCAGTATCAATTCAGATTCTGACTGTATCGTTGCGCGCAGTGTTTCTCCTGTTTGTCAGCGGTGTTTCATCTTCCTTTAGACTGGTTTAAACTGGACATTTGTGTTCTTCGTAGAACTCAAGCGCTTCTCACTGGATCTCGTGACCGAGGCCGCTCTAGTGAGCTCGCGCGCGCTGCCGTTTGGACTTTGAGCCAAGCGGATAAACAGTCTGTGAGGCGCGCGCGGTTCAAATGAGTTTCGTTCCGCTTTTGGCGCATAAACATTATCGAACATTTATCGACCTCTTGATATCGTTTTATCGAGAAAAATTATATCGCGATAATTATCGTTATCGTTTTATCGCCCAGCCCTATATGCACCCATCTCATTATTGATGTTTGTCCTTATTCATATCAAATATTGTTCATGTCATATAGCCTTTATGTATATATAGGTCCAGAATATAGAAAAAATCGATCATAATTGTGTTAAACTAGTAATTTTGTTAATTTAGCATGAAAATCAAATCTTTGACTTGAAAAATAAAACGCATCTCTCATTGTGGGTTAATTCACTGACAAAGCTAAATGTGACAATTATTATTAGTGAGATGATTGTTTTAAGTTTGTCAGGTGATTTTGTTTTAAGTTCAAGTTAAAAGTTGTTATAAGATAATTTTATTTTGTTTGTGATGAATAAAAAAATGTAGTTTAAATTGACGGTTTAGGCCTAAATTGTGGCTTTTAAATGGTTATATTTATTCAATTATAATTTATTTATAAGTATAATTTAATTGTTAATTTTATATGTATTATTAAATAATAATTCAGGTATTTGTATTTATTTTGGACAAACTAACCTTGATAGTACTTGGTAAAAAGATGTAATTTTACAAACATTATTTAAAATATAGTTTCTTTGTCTAAAATACATATATGTGACAATTTGGACCATCACAGTCTCTCTCTCTCTCTCTCTCTCTCTCTCTCTCTCTCTCTCTCTCTCTCTCTCTCTCTCTCTC